CAAACAAAAAACTTAGCTTAGAAAGAAAGCTATACTGTTATTAGATATTTAAAGGTAAATATCACAAATCTCTGGAATCTTTAGAATCTTGAGAATTTGAATTTGGAAGGTGTACATATCAAAAGGCTCTTGGAACATGTCCAGAAGGGCTTCAGAGAGAATTTTTCAGCCACACATAAAAATAACCACATTTGTTGTTAATGCAAACAGTGATGACAAACTAGATCATTTACTGTATTAAGAAAATAGGGCTTCAAATGAATTTTGGTTGACTCCCAGTGGGAGTCACTGTTACCAAGTAGAGATAATCCACAGGTAAAAATACTCAATTAAGTTTGCTACAGATCCTGTAAGCTGTTCTGAATTGAGTGGTCAAACATATTTTGATTCACGCAGTATCTTTGGGATATGTGTTTAACATTTTAGGGTCATTAATGTAAGGAGAACTAACTCTTGAATCTTTCAATTTTGTTTTCAAGCCAATATAGTTAAAACATATTTGATTCTTGGTATAAAGATGTATGGAGACTATGGTACATGCTATGTAGTGTATGCAGGCCTTTTATCTATTAAATACTATTTAACAGTTCTCGAATGAAACACTTCATTATCTTAGACATCAGAATGTCATACTTCGAGCAAATCAAACTGAATTGAGAGAATAGTCAAAACTGAAAAGCAATCAAGCATTACAAAATCACTAATATTTTCTTCTAAACAACTATAATAAAATTTGCATTTTCTGGCAACAGATTTGTGATTATGCCATGAATTTTTATTCCTAACTAGAGAAGCTCATGCTTTTCATACCTTAAAGCTCTGGAGGAAATGATGAAGAACAAAATGACCACTATTAATGAAAATGTTGATTGTTCCCGGAGAAAGAAGGAATGTGGCCTTTGGTCAAAAACTTCACATTGGGAGGAGGAATGAATAGGGGTTCTCTGGACAATGGGATCCTAAATCCTTAATGAATGCGGCAAGGTAATTTATACTTTCTTTAGTTCCCTTTTAAAAGCAGGAGTTCTCTTCCTGATTGAGTTCATTGTTGCCAGTTTATAAAAAAATAGATGCCATTTTTCAAAAAGAAAAGCATCAAAATTGCTTACGAAAGTCACTGCTTTCAAGTGCCAGTTGCAAGTGTACCTAACCCTGAGTACAACAGCAAATCTTCTTTGTCCCATCCTGTTCTCCTGGAAAAAGGATATACTGAATCAGGTTATAGCCTAAGCTGATAATTCAGTGCATGTAGCCAGTCACACTTGCTTACATTTTTGACCATTTCGTTCATGTTGAAAAGTACGAGTAATTTTTCAAATAGGCAGAGCATGTAAAAATCTTTGGTAGGTGTGGTGCATATGAATAACCACACTTGTGTTTTATGGCACATATTCTAGAAGGACAGAGGTATAAGGAAGAGAAATCGTGTTCAAATAGCTTAATGCTACCAATGATGAAAGTGAGGTCCATAGAAACAAAGTAGCACAGTAAAATTAACAAGTATAAATACTTAAGTTGGAAAAGAAGGCGTGGAGACTTAAAAAATAAGCATGAACGACAATAGAGATGGCTTGTATTTTGATGTGTAAGTACTTCAGGATTTGAAATAATACATCTAAAATTCAAAACACGTCATATTGTTTAAATCACCCAAGTCCTTTAGGAATTATTCTTGTGAACTTGACTGTGTACTCTGTAGTGTCCTACGGATGTTATGTTCATTTAAGTTTGTAAATGGCAAATAACCACCTTCTTAAAGTGAATCAGCATCCATCAGGGAATCCTTCTTCACTTATGGAGTGGTCATCGAGACCTGGAGACAAGCTATTTATTTGACGAATAAAATCTACTGTCATTCCTGACATTTATCTTACAATTTTCAAGAATCCTTCACTCATTTGTAATAAACTTTATATCAGGCTTTTAGGTCTGATTGAAAAGTCACTTGTATAGGGAGGTTCAATCCCTTCAAAGTCTTCGCAAGGTCTGTGGCTATTATCATATAGGTTTGTGTATGTAAATCACATACACAATTGAGGCAATTATTTCTCAACCTCATATCCAATAATATTACAGAAATATCTGTGTTTTGAAACTGAACAACCATATGCTAAGAAATTATAAAGAAAAGATTAAAAAAAACCCCAAAACCCCAAAAAAACTCCCTCAGCTTATACCATATAGAAGAGTTATAACATAGGAGTAGTTGGACAATGCATGTTCTATTTACATTCCTTTCTTTCTATAGTTACAGAATATCAGTGATTACCATGTATAAGCCCTCTTGGAAATCTCATGATGTAAAGATAGAAAGACAGAGGCAAATCTGTACACGTTAATAAAACAGGATGTTTGATTAGAATATGTTGATAAAACAAAATATTCATTTTAGTTTATTTTTGTTGAATTTATTAATAATCTTTATATATTTATATATGTATGGCTTTGAGCAAAGACAAAAGAAATACTCTAACTCATCCCTGATCACACAGTTATAAGAATCAGCTATTCTACTATTTTCCCAGCAGTAGAAAGACCAATCTTCTCAATAATACATTTCTTTCTGTACAGATTAAAACTCCATACTCATGGGCTTAACTATGTACAGAGAAAAGAGGTCACTTTTCAACTAGCAATTGACTTTTATATTACAGGAATGTGAGTCAATTTTTTTACTTTACCTAAGTATATATATTCATACATATATATGTATATAATTTACCCTGTACCACTTTATTAGTTTAACATATAAACCTTAGCTTTTTGTCCATTCTATTACAAAGTGAATAAAAATTTTATGGTTGCACTGAAAGACCATGCAATTCAATTTTGCTTATGTTTCCCAATAGTGCTAAAAATAAAAAAAAACAAAAATTTGTATGTATATATAAAAATATTTCACCACCAAACCCATTAGTCCTATCAAATGTAAACCTTTAATAATTTAAAGGACCAATACATGATCTTAATAAATTTAAGTTAATTCTCAATCATTTAATAAAATAAAGGAGTTTTGTACTGATATGTAAATGGTCTTGCAGCTTCTCCATAGGTTCTAGGCAGCATGAACAATCCCTTTCTTACACCATTCCTGACACGCCATCCTACGTCACCAGCATATTAATGATAACATTACATTGACGAGCATTGTTGATCACTTCCACACAAGCTGGGATCTGTCAGAAATTAAACATAACTCATTTTGGTTTTATAGGTATTTTTTCCATAAAAGGCATAACAGGCAGCGCGAATCCATGTTAGAGTTTTTGCTTTTGTTTTCTGTCCTCAAGTCTATCTGGAGGCCCTCCCCATTTACTGTGCGGTCGTTGTTAAGTTCTTCTTGTGGCCGGTGTCAAAGATACGGAAGACCTCCACTTCATGCCATTGTCTTAACTTGGGTTATTTACAGAAGTCAGTTATTAGGTAACTTCCCATTGTGTTCCAGTCACCCACCACATTGGTGGGGTGCAATAGGCACAAATGATTACTAAGGGGCTCCTCTGAGAAGAAGATGCTCATAGATCATAGAAAGAGTTAAGGAAATAGACAGAAAAACAAACAATGCTCACAGACATTCGGTTTGACCCTGGCTTTCTGTCACCATGTCCATACTGTTTTCAGCACATTGAAAATAACAAACCTTCTATCTAAGGGCTATGTTAGTCACCCTGTGCCTTGAGATATACTAACTAGTCAGTTACAATGTACAGAGAGCAAACTGTGTGTTCCCAAACAGACATGATGCTATAGTGTATTTATTTCTTTAAATTAACACCACGGTAAACTGCCAACTACAGTGAAGACAGAACACACTGGCAACTCCAAATCAAGCCGTGGTTTACAAATAATTATTTAAATAATAATAATAATGGTAATAATTATAACAATAATAGTAATAATCTTAAATGAAAGTGAAAACCTCACTTCTAGACTTAAGTCAGACATCCAAGTCAGCCTTATAGGAATTTTAAGATAGGCAATTAATGAATGGTTATACTTTTCTAAAAACAAGAAATACTGTAAGCCTTTCCCTACAATGACTGCTTTGAACCTATTTATTTTCCCCCCAAAAGCATGCAGGGACTACTTTCAAATGCTTGATTATGGCAAGAAGGAAGAAAAGTAATGGTTTTTGGTTTAAACCAAGCAATTTGTAGAATCAAGCATACAGTTTTGCATAAAACATCGCAGGTTAAAATAACATTGTAGGTGTCAAGCCATTGCATTACAGCTGAAAAATTGTCACAATTCAGCTTTGTAAAATTTAAAACTAAGTTTTGAAGTGAAGCGATAAAACTAAATTCTTAAGCGATGGATTTTACCTTCATACAGCACAGAATAGCTATTTTCATTTGGGTTGAAAAAGTTATTTACAACTAACATTGATTGAGTAAAAGTCCAATAACACATGAAGAGAACTATCCCCTTGCTTTCTGAAAGATCAATGAACACGTCTGAGGTTAGAGATAGTCATAATAGTGCCAATGCTAGTATCCTATGTGGCCAAGCATATAATTTATTCTGGAACCTAATTCAAAATTGAAAGCACCAAAATACAATTTAGATCTACAAAATGGGATTTGCTATTTAATCCTCCATAATTAATGATTAACAACTTAGATGCAGAGACACAGCTAATGAAAGAAGTTTGGTGCTATTCCGTAGCTCACTTGAGTTGCCTTTTGAAAATCAGAGTTTTGTTTCCATTGAGTCCAAGAACTCTTCATAAAATAGAGAAATATATATATATATATATATATATATATATATATATATATATATATATATATATATTCAAAGGAATTAAGTAAAAGCAGGTTAAAAATAATCTTACAACAACATTTTCAATCTTTTAATGATTTTAAGAAAGGAAGACATATAACACTGAATGCTAAACAAGTCCTTTGAACTTCTCTTGGGATTTTAGATATATATATATTTAATAGTATATGTGTGTATGTGTGTGTGTGTGTATATATATATACACACATACATATACATATATGTGTGTGTATATATATATATATATATACATATACATATATATGTGTGTATATATATATTTTACATTTTGCATGTAGGCCAGCGCTGTCTAAAATATCTCTTCATAGTAGGCTATAGGGATGGATCAGGAGATAGAATAAAATAAGATCCGAGAGTATTCTCAGTTTATCAGTCTTTCTGCTTTGACAATCAGCAGAGATCATAAATTGGAAGCAAACCGTGGCTTCTCTGCTTCTGGGTCTGTATTTAAGACTGAGGAAGACTCTCTCTGAAGGGCGGCTGCTGGTGGAGGAGGTGCAGGAGGGACCCCTCGGTTGGGGGGGATGGCTCCCGATGACATCTGTCGGAACAGGGTGACTCTCTGGGGGACAGTGCCCCTGCCCACTGCCGGAAGGCCCGTGCCGTGGACAGCTGTCACGGGTTGAGGGATGGAGGCCAGGGACTCGCCCACAGTGGGATGAGGTCTGGAAATCAGGGTGGCAACCTCATGGGGCAGCGAGGGCTGTGAGGCCGAGAGTGGCCTGACCTCTCGGGTCAGGCTGGTGTTGTGCAGGGCCTGCGTACTCTTGTGCACTTCATTTTTCGGCGTGGAGCTGGTAGGTGTCTGTGGCTGTTGGGGCTGCTGCTGTGTCTGCGGAGGCTGGGACGGCTGTAATTGCTGCTGCTGCTGCTGCTGCTGCTGCTGCTGTATAAGTGATAACTGGGAAGTAGTGGGGGAGGCATAGTGGAAAGTTCGAGTGGCCAGTGGGCTCTGTACAGGAGGGCTGCAGACGGCAGTGGTGTAGGAGCAGGGTGAGAGGATGGCGGACGGCTGAGGGGTCTGTGTGCTGGGACTGGGGGAATGCAGGTTGCTATGAGACAGGCTGGTCGCTGTGTACACGGGCGGCGATTGTGTCCTCATGCGGGAGGTCGTAGTCGTAGTTGAAGACATGGAATTCACGGCTGTCATCTGAGGATAACCGATCGGAGCGATTGCCTGCACCGTCTCCCTGTCGTGTTTCACAATCTGCTTCAGGATCTCGTTCTCCTGATTGTTGAAAACACCAGTGTTAAGATCCTTCTGGAACTTTTGCAGAAGAATTGAATTTTTCTTTCCTGTCAGTAAAAGAAAAATAAGCACTTAGGAAGCCTACAAATGACTGATGGCAACTCCAAGAGACTGGCTCCTGAAAACAGAAGTTGGTCAGTTTCCCAGAAGAGGTTTAAGAGCCAAGGACTCACCTTTAGACACCAAACAGAAAGGTGGCTCCTGCCCTTCACACTTCCTGTGTCATCCTGGTGAATCTTACCTTCTAAGCCCGTTGAAAAGGCTGTAACACGGCAAAAGCCATCTTACAGAAGAGACAGAGACATGTAACATGAGGGCTCCTTGAAGACTGGGAGGAGAAAGGGCAATTTGGAGCAGGATGGGTCTGGGATCAAACTAAGTTGAAAGCTTCTGTTTCAAGAAAGGACAATGTCATACTTACTATGTGACAGGCACGCTACAAAAAGCTGTAGGCAGATTTGTGTTATTTACCTCAACTCTGAGGTAACTGTGTTCATAATCCTATTTCACCGGAAAGGAGCCTGGGACATATGGAAGTTAGGAACAATGCTGAGGAAAACATGGTTCATAAGTAACTGGGCTGGGAATGGAAAACAGTGAATCTGATCATAGGTACATCACAGACAACAAACCAGCCATGTCGGTGTCACGTGAATGCTCGTGAGAAATGCAGTCTCTTGGCCTCACCCACTTGCTGAACCCCATGCTGCATGTTACCAAGATTCCTCAGGCGATTTCACATGCAAGGGTCAGAAGCAGGGGGCTTTGCTTTCAACCAGTGCCCTACGCCACGGATTCCCTACCCTACCTGAATACGTTTCTCGTCTCTGGAGCTTTAAAACATACTGATTTCCATCTGTACCCTACCAATTCCATCAGAATAACCAGACATGGGGTCCAGATTTGGGTACTTTAATGGAACATTTCCCCAGGTGATTCTTATGTGCAGCCATGTTGAGAACCATGTCGGAATCTTTCCTCCCCTGACAGGCTATGAGAATCAAGGCACAGAGTGTCCGGCAGGCTCTCGGCTCATTCCAGAACCTCAACCACCATCACCGCTCCTTCCTGCCACTGCCTTTGGAGTTCTTTACAATTAGTAGGTATTCACTGCCAGAATAACTATTAGAATCAATAGTAGATTGATGAAAGGGGGAAATCAGTGACTTTTGATGACATCATTGATAGAATAATACCCAGGGGAATATGGCAACTAAAAAGTAAATTGATTTGCCATATCACTAAATAAAATATGACACCTAAAGTAACAAGAAGCATTTTGAAAGAAAATATGTTATAATTTACTTGATACTGGGAAAAGCAATAGTTTTTTTCATCTGTTTTTTCCATTGATGTATAATTGACATACAATATCCTATCAGTTTCAGTTGCAATCATTTTAAATGACTGCCAGAACATAGTTACCTCTCTCTTTGAAGCACTGTCCTGATTTCCCAAAGAACAAACACTTCTAGGTTAGTAATAAATATAAATGCTTATTTAGAATATTCCTTTAACTAACCATAGATACATTTAGAAGCAATGACCACAAAACTGAGAATGATAATATTTGTGATCAAGTGGATAGTCAACATTTCATAATCTAAGTATCTGTTACCTTGTGGAAAAATACTATAACTTTTAATGCAGTGTTAGAATTTTACAAGTGTTAGAATTTTACAAGAATTTTAATGCAAATGTTTGTTTGGTGCTTACTAGCAATTTCATTGCCTGTATTATTGATTGCATGCCATTTCATGCTAACTTTCTTATAAAAAATTAACTGCAATAAGTTAAATGAGAGTGAAGCTGCATTAGATAAACAGGTATTTTCTATTGAAATATCCTGATTTTAATGCTTTCTCTAAAGATGTTGAGCTGATTTAGGGAACAACTCATATGCTAGAAATTAGTCTCTAGTTCTACAATGAACACTCACACACCACAAAGGGGAAGTTATTTTCAAATTAAGTAAAGATGCTTTTAGGAGTCGTTACTTCTTTTATGAGCACTGTCTCTCCAGATGCTGTGTCCTGTTAAATCTCAATGTGAATGTCTAATGGATGTGTTTGACATCCAAATACTACCCTTACTTCTCCTACCCTACTTTCAGGTCCTTCTGCAGTGTGTCGTCATACTAATATAGAGGAAAAGAAACATGAGACGTGTAGAGGAAAAGCTAACGTAACTACACATCAATCACAAGTCCTTTCCCTGAATGAGAATGAAGCAGTTGAAACACCTTTGTTTACTTTCAAGTGATCCCCAACCCCATCTCCTTGGAGTTCATTGATTCCTTCCTCCCTGCCTATCTCTCTTCGATAATATTCACTGTGTACTAAGTACTGTGAATGTAATGGTGAGTTAGACATGATCACTACTCTTGCAAAGCTTAGCGTCTCTAGCGCAATTACAATAATTAAAGCAGTTCTGTGGAGGAACTTCCCAGGGTTATGGGAGAACATATCCAGGGCACTCAGCCGATTCAAGGGGTGGGAGGTCACAGAGGGCATCTATAGGAAAGTGAGGCATGAGGTTAGTAAAGTTAAGCAGGGAACAGGGGCAGAGCAGGGAGGGGTGGGCGGGGGGGGGGAGCTGAATGTGGAAAATGAATGCATACTGCCTTCTGACGTCAGAACGTTCCAGCATATCTTGGGAAGTTAACTGCAAGCCAATCTGATCTAACTTTACTATGGCAATTATTCAAACCTTTAAACTAGTGAAACTAATAAGGTCTAATTTATATATTTTTATTTGAGAGCAGAGAAGACTAAAATAAGCAGACCTTTGCAAAGTAAAGCATCTATGTAGGGCATTTCTAGCAAGGCTTTTTCTGCTTGAGTCTGCATTACGAACATTTCCAGAAGTTTCTACAGAGACAGTTATTTAACACAAGTGTCCAATTCTTAACATAAGGATAAAATGTAAAGTTGATCCTTAAAAAGAAAAAAAAAGAGAAAAAATAAAACCCTTGTGATAAAATTTGGTTTGTAATGCAGACTCATAAATTAGTAATTTTAGTTCTATTTTAATGCTATCTAGCACTTTTATCATTGCCTTTTACCTGAAGATTCAAATTGTTTTGCCATCAGTGGGGAAATCAGATTGTATAGCTAGTAAAAACAGAGATGAATAAATTAACTTAGAACACTTAGGAGAGAAAAGTTAGATAGAGCCTCAGATCTTTCTAGAAATAAGGCTACAGGTAATTGCTATTTGTGTGCTAGTGAACAAGCAATCTATGAATTAGCATTTGGGACTGATGATTGCAAATATATATCAGTCCACTAGATTAAAACTAAGTCGTGCACAAAGAAGATAGAAAACTAAAGAGAGTACCTATTCGATCCAGTCGGTCGATGGCAACTGTCTCAAAGGCTCTTCTCATCATTGGATATTCCTCCAGGACCTCATTGAAATTGTCCACAGAAAGTGAGTAAAGACGACAGTATGTATCAGCTCGAACACTGGCAGTGCGCCGGCCCTTGGTCAGCAGGCAAATCTCTAAAACAAGAAGGAAAGATTTGTTCAGTAATTGTCTTCTCAAGACCATTAAGGCCTCCTACAATTAAAAAAGTCTTGTGGTGTGAGAAACCAATGGTTAGCAGCATTTTCTATTTTATCAGGATATTCATTCATCAATTAGAAGTATCCAATTGCCAATACTTAATCTTAAAATAGTTAAAAAAACAAAACCAAAAACAAAACAATTGAGGGTTGTTGTTCAAAGGGAAGGCTGAAATACAGTTATCTATCTTCACCGCCCCCACCCAATCCCAACCCCCCTGAAATAACAAAAAAGATTCAGAAAAGGGAATAATAAATCCACAGTGGAGTTGAGAACAGAAAGGGACTATTCTCAGACAGTTCTTGTGAATTCTGGAAGGTGAAAGCAGATGGTATCATAGAGACAGAAACCGAAGTGAACCTGAACATTGGCTTAGAAAGTCCTATAATCAAGCAAAACTAGATCAGATGAATGCCTTATGTAGTTCATATATTCCCAATAAGATCAGTATCAAAACCTTTATTCCAAATGCACAGAGGAGATTTCTATTTATATAACTTCTAAGGAGGATCCTCCATTGAAATTTAGATTCCCAACATACGGGAAGCAAACATTTGCAAATTTGGATTTCCTTATTTGCTAGCAAAATAAATGTTAAAAGCAATATTTTCCCAAAATGTATTAATTAAACTCCTGTAGACTATGACTTTTAAAAAATTAGAAATAATTAAAATTTTAGCCTCTCAATAACCAATTTGGAAAAAGGAATGGCAGACATATTTCTGAAATGCACAGTCTCCTAACAGGAGGAAATGCAGCAAAATAATTATTGAAGGGCGTCTAACTCCACACTCCTTTGAACTTATTTAAAGAAGTTCCGTTCATGTTCATAACCATTATGAATAAATTATGTGGTAGGCACTACGTACTTGATGTTAGGGCTGGAAATATGAACCAAACATAACATCTACTTTATTACTTATATGCTGGTGGTAAAAAGAAAAGGAGTTCATCTTAAGAGTTAATTTAAATGCAGCCTGGTAAGAACCATAGTACTGACACTCTGCGAATACTGAAGAAGCGCATCTGAATCAATCTGGGAGGACAGAGAGGACGTGAGGAAACGCCACCCAAGCCACCAATTATGTTGTTGTTCATGCTGGTAAACATGTTGCAAATGTAATAAATAATAGTGTGGAGTGTTCATGTTTGTGTGTAAATTCCTGTGTGTGCGCGGATGTGAGTGTGCACTTGGTGTGTGTAGGAAGATGAATCTATGTTGTTCAATACTTAAGCATAAAGCATATTATCATACCATGGAATTTGCTGGCCACTCTAAACAATGTAATAAAAGAATTTTTAGCTCTACCCCAAAGTTAAACTTCTGTGTCAGTATGGTGCTAATGCCATATTATATAATTTATGTTTGCCACATTATGACAAACAGGCCAATGAGAAATGTTTTACTCCTAAGTGTTCCTTAAAAATCTCTATGTTACAAGTGTCCTATAGAATGGTTATAAACCTCATGGAAAATAACCCAATAATACATAACAAAGTTTTTAAAAAGTATCCATACTCTTCAACCTAAGAATTTCACTTGAAATTCTGACCTAAAGAAGTAGTTTATAACTAGAGCAATGTGGTTGACTTTGTGCTATATATTATACATTTATTGATACATTTGAAAATAGGAGAATTTCTGAAATGTTTAAGTAAAGATTTATAATCAATTACGTGGCATTTATTAAAAGTGAAGCTTTTTGATACAAGACAACCAAGATGGCACAGTACGTAAATGCTGTATTTACCTTCTCTCACAACCACATCAAAATTACAATTAATCTATAAAACAACCATTATTGGGAATCTCCTAAAATCAAGCCGAACTGAAGACTTTCAACTAAAGATATGCAGAAGTCACCTCCAGACTGGTAGGAAGGTCAGAGACACGGAATGGGCTGGTCACACAACCGCGTGGGACCATTAAAGATCGGGAAGGGTATTTTGGCTGTGGAGACCCCCCTCCCCAGAGGAGTGAGAGATCCCAGCCCCACTCCAGCCCAGGATGCCAGTGCTGGGGAGAGAAGTACCTATAATTTTTGGTTGTGAAAGCCAGCAGAGATTGTGAGTGAGACTGAATGCAGCTGCATTCACAGGTGCTCCTCTTATAGGGACCACAAACAGACTTACTCACCAACGCAATGACTCGCTCTGAGCTCCAGAGCTGGGGCAGCAGCTGGAAAGGAGGCAGGGATAAATGGTGGGGAGCCGAGTTATCTGGCTTGGGATGGGGGCTGGAGAGGCAGCTTTCTCCTAAAGAGAGGGGCTGGTGGAGGCCATTGTTTCTTTGTTGAGCCCTCCCCCTTTACCCTTGTGCAAAAGCAGGCAGCTGCCATATCTGAGTCTCTGCTGTTAGTTGGCCATGTCCTGGCAATTTGCCCAACTTTTGGGCACACCTAGGCTGCTTTCAGTAGCTTTTTCATGCAGACTTCCTGCTTTGGCTCAAGCTACAGACTTAGCTGGACTCTCAAAGGTTTGCGGAACCCAGACAAGCACATCGGGCTTCAATGTGTCCTGTGCTTCTGGCTGAGCAGCCCTAAGCTGGCACTAGCGGCAGCCGGCCTTGGTTCACTGCTTGGCCTCTCAAGGCGCTTCCAAGCTCAGCATGGGCAGCCGCCATCTGTGGATTTCTTTCTGGCTCCTGCTGGGTGGCCCCGGGTGAGGCATGGGCTGTGGCTGAAGTAGACCTACAGTGGATCCCCTCAAACATGGTTCTGGGTCTTGCGCCCATAGTGGCCAGCTTCAAAATGAGCTGGACCATCACCCAGCCACCTCTAAGTACGACACACCCAAGGGGCAGATTGGGCAGACACCAGAGCCCTGCTGAGGCAGATCCTGCTCTGTAGGATCAGCCCCTGCACAACAACTCTTCCACTATAGTCAAGGCCAGTCCTCACAACCAGTGAGCCCAAGGGTCAGTCCCTCCCACCTATGTATAATTATCAACCAAGGCTCAACTACAAGAGAAGGGTACACACAACTCACACAAGGGACACACCAGAAGTGCGTAGCTCAGATGTCCAGGAAGACTACACCACTGGGTCCCACAGGACACCTACTACATAAGGCCATTCTACTAAGACCGGAAGACATAGCAGCCCTACATAATACATAGAAACAAACACAGGGAGGCAGCCAAAATGGGGAGACAAAGAAACATGTCCCAAATAAAAGAACAGAACAAAGCTCCAGAAAAAGAACTAAGCGAAATGGAGACAAGCAATCTATCAGATGCAGAGTTCCAAACACTGGTTATAAGGATGCTCAATGATCTCAGGGAGAATTTCGACAGACAGATTGGAAGTATAAAAATGGAGATGAAAACCATAAAAAAGAATGAGTCAGAAATAAAGGATATGATAATGGAAATGAAGAATATATTACAGAGAATCAACAGTAGATTAGATGAAGCAGAGGATCCAACCAGCAATGTAGAAGATAAGGTGGTAGAAAATACCCAACCAGAACAGCAAAAAGAAAAGAGGTTCCAAAAAGTCGAGGCGAGTTTAAGGGGCCTCTGGGACAATATCAAGCATACCAACAATTGCATTATAGGGGTACCAGAAGGAGAAGAGAGAAAGCAAGGAATTGAAAACCTATTTGAAGAAATAATGACAGAAAACTTCCCTAGTCTGGTGAAGGAAATAGACATTCAAGCCCAGGAAGCACATTGAGTCCCAAACCAGATGAACCCAAAGAGGCCAACACCAAGACACATCATAATTATAATAAAATGGCAAAGGTTAAATACAAAGAGAGAATCTTAAAAACAGCAAAAGAAAAGCAGTTAGTTACCTACAAGGGAGTCCCCATAAGACTGGCAGCTGATTTCTCAACAGAAACTTTGCAGGCAAGAAGGGCATGGCAGGAAATATTCCAAGTGATGAAAAGCAAGGACCTACATCCAAGATCACTCTACCTAGCAAGGCTGTCTTTTAGAATTGAAGGACAGATAAGGAGCTTCCCAGACAAGAAAAAGCTGAAGGAGTTCATCACCACCAAACCAGTATTACAAGGACTTAGAGGTACTTCTTTAAGATAAGAGGGAGGTTAAGGATGGGTGAAAAGGAAAAGGGATTAAGAAGTACAAATTGATAGTTAATACAGTATGGGGAATATAATCAACAATGTTGTAAGATCATGTAAGGTGCCAAATGGGCATTGGACTTACCAGAGGGATTACATCATAGACTGTGTAGATGCCTGACAAATGCACTATACACCTGAAGCTGCAGAAGAATAATATTGAAGGTCAAGTATAACTACATATATAGGTATATATAGTGACGGGATGTGGAGCACAACATAGGGAAGATAGTCAATGGTATTGTAACAGCTGTATAAGATGTCAGAGGAGTAGTAGCTTGAGGGGTGGGTTATCACTTTATGAGGGGTTTAAATGTCTATTACGTTGCTTTGTACACCTGAAACTAACATAAAAAAAAGTAAAGCTTTTAATGTCTATGTGATAACAGTAGAAAGGTCACAAACACTTAAGTGAGCAAAGCAGGACATAAGATTGTACTTACAGTATGGTAAAAATGATCACATATAAGTAAGTAACAATAAAGTCTACCGAAATGCCATGCTCTGGATGAAAAATATTCCTTTTAAGTAGTTGTTCTGTGTACATATTTTTTATTTTTTCAAATTTCCTTTATATAAATAATTTGTGGATATGAATAACTTTTAAACGTGTTATTTAAAAATAGCAAGTTCACTGAATAGAAAAAAAAACTAACATATGAAATAATATAAACGATCCTATTCATAGTGATTATTATTGTAGATGTCCTCAACTTTACCTCCCATTCTTTTTAATACATTTTTATTTTGGCATTATATTTTTAATTTCCAAATGCTTTTCATTTTCCTATGTTTGCTGCTTTCTCATTATAGCTTTCTTTTTTGTTGTGGTTGTAATAACTTCTGT